CATCGCTTACATTACATTATTAATTAATTAGCCTATCACTGAATGCAATATAATCTGAGCTATTGACAGCATCATTAGATAAACCACAAACAAAATGTATAGGCCACCTAATATTAATAGGATAGTAAAATCTAAAAATTTGCAGTATGTTAGGATGGGGAAGACAAAGTATATATAACAAATTCTAATGGAGAAATCTCTTAGAAAATTCCACACACAAGACAAAGAAGCAGATGGAAGGATAACATTAGAATGGATCTTAGGTTGTGAAGATGGGAGGTAGATGTATCTGGCTCAAGATCATGACCAATGATTTCCACAGTACTGTAAGATGGCTACACACATGAAGGATGAGTGGTTGGCAGCTGTAATGTGGCAGACATACCATCATTATTCAATATATTTAGGGGTCAGCAAACCCGTGGCCCACCACATCATTCGACACTTAGCCAATGTGAGAGAGGCAAAAATTTTCTGTTACTGAGGAACACTGATATATTCTAATCCTATGAGCAAACAATTGCAGAAAATATTTTTAATTAAACAAATATTTTGTAGATGTATACCTGTAATGTTAAAAATCACATTAATACACAAAGGTGCATTGTTCCATTGTTCAAGTGACATGAGATTTAACAAAACAATATGAAAATTACTGTGGTATTAATAATAATAAGTTTTATAAAATTAATAGACCTGAAATCAAAACTATTTGGAAGCTAATGTCTTTATAGTAAACTCACCTTTATGGAGAAACACCACTATTATCCATTGTAAAGGGAATACCAGCCACATTATTTTAAGGACAAGACATACTAATCTGCTTACTGTCCACAACATTATTCTTTTCTGCAGCCCTTGACAAAGGATTTGAATAGCCACTGCAGCAAACAGTAGTGAAAAGGTCCCTAACCCTAAAGTAATCAAAATTCAATTCGATATAACATCTGCAGCACCTGTGGTAACTTCAATAATGTTGTTCTCTAGTGTGATCACATTTTTTTGGTAATGATACCTGCAACACGTTTTTTAAACAAATCTCCATTAAAGAACTTCATACCACTGACCTGCATCAAATACAAATGACAACAGAAGAGGAAACCTCAATATATAATATCAGATGAATGACAGGAAACTGATTCCCTTTGATGAGTACACAGACCTGGATTACTTATCAATTATTTTTCACAGAAAGCATTGTCACAAGAACCGTGTTCTTGAAACACTCAAAGTTTCTCTGATTCCATAAATAAAAA